GGGCGTCGATGATCGCCGCCCGACCAGAACCAAACCCAAGCGTACGGCGCGTCGCGTTCCGCAGTCTCAAAGAGCCATCGGACCACCACGGATGGGGTGAGCCCCATAGGGCTGATGCCGATTCGGAGTCGCGAAGAACCTAACGAGTGACCGATGCTCCGGCTCGAAGTGCAGGAGTAGAAACGGGGTGGTTTTTAGTCAGTAAGAGTCTGACACTCTCTCCCACCTCACCCATGTGGGAAAAGTCATTCGATGATTATCCCCCCTTAAAAAAAATACGAGGGATACAGGACGGCAAAGGCCGCCTTCAAAGCGGAAATAAAGCGGGCCAAGGAGGAGAGAAGGCCGCCTCATCCAAACGGGAGAAGATATTTGATGATTTTTCCCCCTTAAACTGTCAAACACCAAGCGGTCACCGGTGACCGCAACCTATTGTTCTTTAATTGTGTCTATAAATACGGTACTCGACGAGTTAAGAAAAATTTGGTTTGTCCCATCTACGACTCAAAATCCCGATTTATTTTGCCCTATGTACCGATTTAAAACAATTCGAATCTGGCAACACTATTCAGGGTCTTCAATCAAATATTATCAACAACTGCGACTGCGGCATTTGCGGCAAACAGAAGTGCGGCAAGCTATCGGTGTCTATTATACCGGTCATTGTTGTTCGCTGAGCTAGTAAGAATCGGAATAATAATATTTGCCTACTTACTTACCATAACTTTTTACGTTAAGTACTAATTAAATTGAACTTAAAATATTTACAATTTGAAACTCTTTATCATAATAAAGATAAAGAAAGAATTGGAAGAACAAAGTGATAATTGATTAATTCAGGAAAACTTACTGTGATTTTACCTATACTTTATTCAAGAAGACAAGAAGATTGTTTGGTGAAGGTTCTCATCAAGACTTCTCAGTTTGAATAACATGGCGGTAGCTACTTATGTATTTGTTGATTTACAATCAAACTGTGTTCCACAATCAAACAAAGAAATAAATATCACTGAATTGTGTATGTTAGCTATAAAACATTCACACATACTAAAGAACAAGGACGTAAATGATCCCCGTATTCAACATAAACTCCAAATGTGCTTCAATCCCAAATCTTCATTGCTCGAAAATGCTTCAGAAACCGGATTGACAAAAGATCTACTGAAGAATGAAGCAACATTTAATATGGAAGTATGCCAACTGATAAAAGCATTTATTGAGGGTCTGGAAGCCCCAGTGTGTCTTGTAGCACATGATGGCTTTAAGTTCCACTACCCATTACTTGTGCACCATTTAAAGGAATTTGGTGTTCAGTTAAATAAAAACATTGTGTGCACTGACAGTCTGTATGCTTTTCTTGAAATATTGGAATCAGAAAAAAAAGGCAGTACAAAGTATGTAAAAGTGAAGGTTGGTAAAAAACCTAAGAAAAATACCATTTCAAAATCTAAACAACATTATATTCACATTATGAAAGGGACTGATAAAGACTTGATAAATATGAGAAAAAGCATAAATAATTACAAAAACATAGATGATGTTTACCATAATGTTTACGAATATGAAGACGAAGGCTTGGAGTCTAACAGAGCTGAGAGCCATTGCATCATGCTTATGAGAAGTGTGCTTTCAAAAAAGGGCCAGTTTTTGGCATGGCTTGACAACAATTATTGTCTTTTTTCTGAGATGCCGAATAAATTGTAATGTAATTACAATGTTATGTCTATAAAATATTTAGACAGATTTAAACATTTTTGTTTACTTATGAGCTTAAAAGCTCTCATATTTTGAATGTTTTTTTATAAGTTTCTTTTTTATATATTCGATGGGCCGACGTTGAGCACTATGATGTTATCGATTTATATGTAGTTAAGTAAGTACAAGATAATTTCAAGTTTAAATTTTATATAATTGTTATTCTAATTCACATTATTATTGTTATGTAACTATAGTTGCTTTCTTCATCTCAATAATATGTGATTATAATTAGTAACTTTTTGCACTAAGTGCCTATTGCCTAGCACTTGCTTGGCTGAAATGTAGAACTGTTTTGTACCACCAATAATTATCGTTTATTACTTAGTACTAAGTACATGGTTTCTGAAATTCAAATTATTATGACTGTTATAAATCCAATATGATTATTATCTGGATGTTTCATTTATTTTATTTATTTATTTAAAATGCTTCATGCACAAAGTGTACAAAAAGGTGGACTTAATGCCGTAGGCATTTTCTACCAGTCTGACCTTTGGGTGATGCAGAGAAGAGTAATTGGTAGGTGCAAGAGGCAAGCAGTGATTTTATTTAACAATGAAGGATAAACTAATATATTTCGGAGATATACATACATAAATAAATTTAATTATAATATATACCTACACATGAGTACAATATGCATACATATATACATACATACATAATATATAAATATATACTTGCTAACTATATAGTACCCATTTACCTCTAGGTTTATTCCTGTAACACATTGCACTTTGTTACACACTACAAAGTCAGTGTTGGTTGCAAACACTACAGTTCCCCTATACTTACTTAGGTACTATACTCTTTGCACTAAATTATAGGCCATCTAAATAAAATTTAGGTAGATTCTATAATACTAGAACTCTATGGCCTTAGTCTGCACATGGTCTGTCTCCATAATACAAAATGTACTCTGTGATGGTTGCACTAAGACCAGAGTTCCAAATGAAACCTATATATAGGTCTCAAAATGACTAGTGTAGGGGCCTATCTAGAATAAATTGTCACGTTTTCATAATATAATAATATAAAGAAATTAAAAGTTTTAGCTTTGATATGTAGATAGATGCTAGTGTTTTACATGCCTCAGATTTTTTTAAAGTTTTTAATCATATAATGGATATTATTAAACAACTTATTAGTTCGTACAGTGGCGCCATCATTAAATGATTCCTTTTGAGTTCATAGAGTATATAGTCAGAATTTTAATTCGATTCCAGATTTGACATTAACTACTGTCATTTTGTGAAATAATGTGAAGAATGATACCACATAAAATAGTATAGTGATGAACATAAAAATCGATAAACAATCAGATAGGCTTCTTTTTAAGGAGTGAAAAAATAAGGTAGGCTAGATATGTTAATTGACAACATCACAGACACACATTATAGTAATACATATTATTATGGTCACCTATAGAACTTAGATGTAAAAAAATATAATATTTTGTAGTACCTAGCTTTTTTAAGTACGAGAAAAGATTATCTAAGTATATAATAAAACAACCTTTACAAAAAAAAACTAATGAATTTAATATTACTAAAACCTTAATCACAATATTTGTTGTTATTGATTTCTCACACAATTTAGCGAAAAAGAAAGAGTTTTTTACGAAACGAAAAAGTGATGCCGGTTCGCGATGCTGCCTCAAGCGGAAGTGCGCGGACGGAAGTGTAGCTTGTCTTATCTGTCAATTGAATTTGACAGTTTTACAAACGTCAAACCGACGACGTTTATAAATATAGCAAACCCGGCGAACTCCGTTTCGCCACCGGACGACTTCGTTTTATTTAATATTTCATTTGGGGATCAAAAGATGAAGAAATTAAATTTTCCTGAATTTGCTATAAACCTCACGGAGCCCGAGATCTTTGCAACGAATGCAAAACCGTAGAAATCGGTTTGCGCGATCTGGTGTTATAGCGTCAGAAAGGAAAACCCGACTTATTTTTATATAGTAGACTAGCGGACCCAACAGACGTTGTCCTGCATTGACTTGAATGTATAAACAAAATTCATTTTAGTTCAGCTGTTTAGAATAAATAACCTAAACATCGACTGCAGCACCATCTGCCGGGCTGATTTGTGAATCAAACTATTCCCAGATCCCCTTGAACACACACAAAAAAATTCATCAAAATCGGTCCAGTCGTTTGTGAGAAGTTCAGTGACATACACAGTCATAGAAGAATTATATATATAAGGATTACATTGTACTTTTATTTACTTCAAAGATTTTTTCATAAATTCAACTCGAAGAATTAATAAACTTAACTAAAATCTATAAACTAAAATAAATATATTTAAGGTGTAAATTTATTAATACTTAAGTTATTTAAGTTTTTTTTTTTAAATAAATTAATAAAAGTAATAGTTGTTTTTGTTTTTTCTTATAATTAATTTTAATCTTTAGTTGTATATAGGTATTTAATTTAGTAATATTTAGTTTTAATTTTTTAGTTTTAATTTAGTAATATTTAGTTTTAATTTTTTTTTTTTTTTTTAAGTAATAGTTAGTTTTTAATTTAAGTTTTTTATTTGAATAAAAGTTAAATGGTAAATGTTTTAAATTAGAGTTGACCATGTAACTCGTTTCCTAATTTACACATTAATATAGGAAACTCAAAAAATATTTTGCGGCAACACTGCAGTGAAATTGAGTTATCATAATACCATAACATCACGCCTTTTATCTCCGAAGGGGTAGGCATAGGTGTACATTATGCCACTGTACAATGTAACACCCACTTTTCATTATTTATATTATGAGTCTCATGTAATGGGGGTGAGCCTATTGAATATGTTATTATTAATGTATTTTAAAATTATAGATTTTTATTAAATTAATGCGTAAATAAGAATCAGATAATGGCATCTCCACAACCTAAGCGACACCAGCGCCCCTAGCGGTGAAATCACGCGTGTTATTGTCTTGGGAATGGCAACACTCTTTCCGCCAATGACAGATTTGAGATTGATAGTCCGCCTGCTGTCTGCCGCAGTGGTGGGTTGTGTTGTCGTGTGAGCCTATTATTTCTCACAATTTATTGTAATTTGGGCGTATTGTATTAATTGTTAAGTGAATATAACAAAAATAAAAAGTATTTTATGAATACACAAAGTCTGTGGCTAAAAAACGAAGTGACATATTCATAACTGTTGTTGAAAATAGGCAATGCAGTGTTTGCTATCGAGTAGATTTTTTTAAAAAGTTGTCATTTATTTACTTTGCAATGGGAAAATTATTGAGTCTTTTGTCTCGGGATGACTCGAATTGTTGTTCATCGCCGCGGTATGATATATTTTTGGATTTTGAGAACGCCGCGCCCACGGACACTGAACGCGATGTTTATGAAGAGGTGCAAAGGGTGCTGCTTGACTCAGAGAAAATACTCGAGGAGATACAGTGTTACAAGGGAGCGGGGAAAGAGATACGAGAAGCTATAGCAGACCCATCGAGGATATCACAGGAGCGAGCCTGGCGCGCCGTGCGTCCACTCGTGGACAAACTCCTGCGCTGCTACAATCACTCTCTGCAATTGCAGCGGGTAGGTTTCTGAATCATTTATTCGTACTGTTACTAACTGACCATCATGTTATTAACTTATTTGAAAACTTGTAAACAAGGTTTCTTACTAGAAAATTAAACAGTAGGTAAATTAATATTTTGTGGGTATAAATAAAATAATTTCATTGAATAACTATTAACTCGTCGAGTACCGGTTTTATAGACACAATTAAAGAACAATAGGTCGCGGTCACCGGTGACCGCTTGGTGTTTGACAGTTTAAAAGAGTTTTAAAATAAATTACTTGCATTTAAAAATTAGCTTATGGTTATCTAACATTCTGGTTTGTCTTGATTGATAATTATTTATTTTGGTGTAAGTGTATATTTTCAGTTGCTGTTCAGACAAATATAAATTTCAAAATAAAACAATATTTCACACCACTGACGTCAGTTCCACTCAACCTATTACTTACCCCCATCTTCACTGTTTTGTGATTTTGTTTGCATATATGTTTGCCTAATTTGGGCCTCTTGTTTTGGTGTTTGGTCTACATATTTTTTTAGTTTATTGGCAGACAAGAAACAACAGTTAAAACATACTATGCTTATTGAAATATACCTAGTTGAGCTGGTTTTAATGGTGTAAAAATCCAGCAAAAAAAACCATCAGTACTGTTTTTTTATTCATAAAAATATAATGATAATAATACAATCTTCCCAAACATTGCTTTAGGATTGTACACTGTCCAATCAAGCAGTTTCTCATTATCTATATTATTAAATAAACATTAAATATTTTAACATAAGACACCTAGGTACATTGTCATTTTGCATCCTGTATGCCACTCAGATAGCTGTGATAAGATTATGTGATGTCACGTTGATAAGTTCTCACACTGATACCACTGTAAGCAAATACAACAGTGTTTATCAAGTGTGTATTATTATGGACATATTCAAAGTATTTTCTTTTATATATTTGTAATACACAACTGATTGTGTTTGCATTCTTTACAGCTAACAATGAAGTAGACATATCTCAGGCTCCTTTACTAATTTGCTAATATCCTTCCTTTTTTGTATTACTGTTCTTTCTTTTATCAAAGGGAAATTAAAAGCATATTAAAAAAAAATTAGTCGATTATTTTCTGACCTGCGGAATAAGGTTCTTAGATCAGTAGGTAAACTTGAAAATTAACATTGTAACATCATTTGATTATTGTTAATGTGATAATGTCCATCTGGTGCCTTATTTAATAATACTACTTGACACAATTTTTTTCTTTGTCATGAATTCAAAATCTTTATGTTGATTTAGTTGACTGCCTCGTTGGCCGAGTGGTCGCAATTGCGACTGCCGGGTAAGGGGTCTCGGGTTCGATTCCCGGGTCGGGCAAAGTTTTACTGGGTTTTTAAAAAATTCTCAGTAGTAGCACGGAGTCTGGAATTGTGCCCAGTATATGGCAATAGGCTCACCCCCTATTACATGGGACTCATAACATAATAGTGAAAAGTGGGTGTTACATTGTACAGTGGTATAATGTACACCTCTGCCTACCCCTTCGAGGATAAAAGGCGTGATGTTATGTTATATGTTCATTTAATCACTTAATATATCATGCCTACCGAAAATCCCTAAAATTTGGACTTGCAAAAGTAATCTCTAAACATTAGAAATAAGGTCTGTAATGGAGTTAGTAGAGAGTGGTCACCGGTGACCTCTTGGAGATTGATCAGTTAAAAATCGCATACCTAGTAGTTAACATATCAAACACCCAATCTAATTCGTTTTATTTCAAGTAAAAGAATATGTAACTTTTGTCTAATATTTATTCATTATCAAATAACAAACTAAATACAAAAACTAGATCATTCATTATCCCTATACGAAAATAAAAACCAAGTATCATTAACATATAAAAAATTAAAGCTTATGCTCGACAAACACTCTGCTAATGAATTAAAATGTCTCCCTAACGAGTTTTTATTCTCTCTAGTGAGCAACACATGATATTTATGAAAATATAAATGGCTATAAATAATAAGACTAGGGTGTCCATTCCGCCGTAAATGTGTCACGTTAGACACGCGTGCCGAAAGGTTACGGCCTAACGACTCGTTTGCATACATTCTGCATTAATTGAAATGTGACTTGTGCTTGTGACTAAATTAAAACTGCAGTCGCGATTTTTCTATAAGCAGCTATAGATAACCATCCTTAACTTTCAAAGGCCTCACGATCATTCCTGATTTACGGTTGTAGTAAATAGAGTGCAACATTACGTCCGGTATCTGAGTATTGCATACAGTACGTAGGTACTTCTTTCTTATCCTTTAGTGAAATATTTATAATAACTGGATAACTTTAGCTATTACGTAACCAAAACAAGAGTAAAAATCTGCTTGTCGTCTTCGTTTTACTGAAGTCCTAAGATAAATCGTGTCATTTTGCCAGGCACCAGTGAAGTTAAATAAATTACTAAACTAAAAGTAAACCGTCAGATTCAGTTGCGCTTGTACCCAATAGATCTTGATGAACAGTAATAAAAAAAATTGCGAGGAAATATTCAGATGGTTATATTGCCTGCCGGAAACACATAAAACGTCCGTTTAGTTGGGAGTATAGAATCCGTAGCATACGGCATACGGCTCCCAACAAGCCCAATCAACTGGTTAGTATCTTTTCGGCTGCGACTGTACGTGTTTCCGGCACGTACCGAGTAGTAGCGAAACGTACCTACCATAACATTCCCATATTTGGTATCTTATTTATACAACGCGGACCTAAAAACCAGCCAAAGAACGTTGTAGTTATCTTACAAACCTGCTCAGAGCCCGCTACGACATCGAAAGATTTTCCCGACGAATTGTAGACAGAAATAAAATGTTTTTTTTTTTTATAAGACCATTCTCTTAACCATAAGAAGAAAGGATTAACGAAATCGGTCCACCCATTTAAGGTGGATGGATGATGATCTCAAATGCCATTTTGTCGCTAGATGGCGTAACTTCCACAATTTGGAACATTTTCACGTTTTACGCCTAACTTCGAAATCTTTAATAGATAACTTTATTGTTCGCGAAACCTAGGGCATTAACTTGATTTTTTAGATAGTCGTTGTGCTTGTTATCTGGTCTCATACAAAGATTACTACAAAATAAAGATTTAGCCGCTTCACTTTACTGTTTACACACACATGCAAAGTAAATAGTAGTAACTTTCGACACCACCAGATGTCGTTATACTATAAAAATATTAATTTACATACTTGAAATTATGTTCCCATCTATTTCTTATTAGTATAATAATTGGTCTAAGTATACTTTTGTTTCTAGACTCGATATCTAGCAAATTATTCATAAAATTTATTTTAGGTAAAATAGGTACCTACACTGTACACTATATACTATACCCCTAGACCCTACACCTGTCGCGGCGAACCTAACGGGTAACCGGGGCTCCGGCTCGACGTGCAGGAAAAGGAACGGGGTGGTTTTTAGTCAGTAAGAGTCTGACACTCCCTTCCGCCTCACCAGGCGGGAGCAGTCATTCGATGATTTTCCCCCCTTAAAAAAAAAAAAAAAAGACCCTACACCTAAAAAATTGTTGTAATGTGACTGAACCTAAATTGTAATGTGTAAATAGTGACTTTACTAAATAAATAAATGAAAGACTATTTATTCCATTGTAAAGCTTTTTATTGTACCTTACTATAAATTAATAATATTTATTTAGTAAAACTAAGTTAACATTTTCATAAAATAATCGTTTTATTTACTCTCACTACATTTACTTAGATAGTTTCCATCTGGATTCAAACCATGGAGTCATACCACCATACAAAGAACATAATTTTTTAATTGTTTTGATATTTACTTAGTTTTATAATTTTTAAATTTAGTATTAGAAAGAATTATTATGTATGTAGATCACAATATAAATAACATCATAAGTATATATAACGGCACATGTAAGTTTGCAAGTATCTTACATTTATTTATTTCAATTAATTAGTATAACATTACAGTCATAAAACCAACAACAAGTGGTTGCTAGCTAACCATAACATTTATTTATGTTTCAAGAATACATGTTTATTATACAATTTTGAACTTAAATAAATAATGTTTTACAATTGAATTGTTAGGCTGGTACCTAAATGCATGAGGCAAACTTATATATGTCGTAGGATAATTTGATATTTCGAATCTTCGCGAAAATCCTAGGGGTTTTGCGAAAACGCGGATAATTAGACATAGGCGAAAAATTATCAAATCTTACTGGACAAAGTCAGGATTTTTGCGAAAATACTCGTTACTATAGTAAGATTTGATGTGCTCAACACTGATTGGCTACAATTTTGGTGGCTGGCTTCTAATTGGTTCCTAGTTTAGGTGAGAAAGAAAAATCACTAAATTGATTTTTATAAACTTTTTATTGAAAATTTTAGTATGTATGTTGTTTTCTACAGACAATAGGAGATCTCAGTCGTTGTAAAAAAAAATGATCCAATTTTAGGGTGTAATCCATAAATTGGATGAAACTGGTCGTTTAAGACGACGAAAAAACATTTAAGACGTCAACCAATCAGAGACGATCTCTTATTGAACGCGCTGACCGACCAACCAGCGTTCTTATTTCATAACAGCCAGCGTTTCGTTTCGCAATCTTACTATAGTAACGAGTATTTTCGCAAAAATCCTGACTTTGTCCAGTAAGATTTGATAATTTTTCGCCTATGTCTAATTATCCGCGTTTTCGCAAAACCCCTAGGATTTTCGCGAAGATTCGAAATATCAAATTATCCTACGACATATACACAGAAAAATCTTATGGACTAACAAAATAACACAAACTATACATCGCACAAGTGGTTGCTAGCTAACCATAACATTTATTTATGTTTCAAGAATACCTATTTATTTTACAATTTTGAACTTCAATAAATATTGTTTTACAATTGAATTGTTAGGCTGGTACCTAAATGCATGAGGCAAACTTATCTACACAGAAAAATCTTATGGACTAACAAAATAA